CCCCCTGTGGCTCCCGCAAGCCAGTGTCACCCCCGTGGCTCCCTCAGGCCCACGGCCACCCTGTGACTCCCTCAGGAGCATGGGCACCCCGTGGCTCCCTCAGTAGTGCAGGTATCCCTGTGACTCCCTCAGGAGCGTGGGCATCCCTGTGGCTCCCTGTAGTGCAGCTACCCCATGGCTCCCTCAAGACCGTGGCACCCCCATGGCTACCTCAAGACCATGGCACCCCTGTGGCTCCCTCAGGACCACAGCCGCCCCATGGCTCCCTCAGGACGGCGGCCGCCCCGTGGCTCCCTCAGGAGCATGGCTGCCCTGTGGCTCCCTCAGGAACGTGGCCACCCCGTGGCTCCCTCAGGAGCATACCCCTGAAATGGCCCGCAGACATCCTGTGCACTGAGCATCCTCACGGCCCAGACGAGCCCTCCTTCCCCAGACTCCCCGTCTGCACGGCGTGCTCACGTTGAGCAAGATGACCCGGGGACCCTGAGGCCCTCGCACTGCCCTGGCTCCGATGTCAGCCCATCACTGATGAGGCTCCTGGCCGCCCCTCCTCCTGGACCCTACCCTTAGAGTACCCCAAGTCTGTAAGGCCTGGCGCACTGGCAGGGGCAGCTGGATGTCATGGTGCCCGTCCCTTTCCGAGCCCTGCAGGGCAGCTCGCTTCTGTGGGCCTTGGCCTGTTTCTGTGGACGGACTGGAGGGTTGGTCCTCGCTCTCGGGCACCTTTCTGCAGGCCGACTGCACAGGGACCCCCACGTTGCATTCGGGGTGCGCCCAGCACACCCGGGGCTGAGACTGCCCAAACCCGAATGAGGCACTGGACGGGGAAGCCCGCGGCTCGGAGTGGAGTGCAGCGCCATGTCGGGTCCGGGCAGATGGCGCTGCGTGTCACCCGGCAGGGCGGCGACTCTGCGAACTTCATTCCGTGAACGCTGAAGCGAAGCTCTGTGATGACCTGGCATCCACCTCGGTCTCCAGTCGTGTAAGGTTCTCCGTGTCCAGGCCACCCCGTGGCACTTCTTTCCACGGACGTGCTGGCCTCGAACCTTAGAGGGTGTTCGACCAAGCCACGCTGGCAGCAGCGAGGCCCTGTGCTGGTCCCTCTGCTGCTGCCGGGCGGTGACTGGCTCCTGCCTGAGAGCCCTGCCCCACGCTGTGCCTGACACCAACGTGGCGTGGGACCGACTGACGCACCCCTGCGGCGTGGAAGCTGGCGCCTCCCCTGGCTCGAAAGCTGTGCCCTACTTCGATGGCAGGACAGAGGAGCCGGCCCAGCCCCTGCAGCTGCTCTGGGGCAGCAGGGGTTTACCAGCCTGCCTCCCGGCTCTGAGCAGAGAAAGGCTGGCCAACGCCAGCCAGCACAACAGCTGGAGCGGGGTGAGGAGATGAAGCTCCCTCCCCAGAGCGACCACCTGCGCCACTCACGTAAGGTCAGACGGGGAGGGGCACAGCCGCACTGCCAGCGGGCACCGGGCCAGCTCTGCGGTGCTCCATTTCACCATGGACTGGCAAACCACAGCGGGTACGTTTGTAAAAATTAAGACTGGGACCAGCAGATGGCGTAATGGTTATGTCTCTGGACTCCCACAGAGTTGACTGCAGTTCAAGCCTTGGACCTGGTGACTTAAAACTCACGCTGGGTGCGTGTGCGTGCGGGCCCAAGATCCCAAGAGGAGAATGGAGAAGGGATTGCGGCGTGGCCATCCCCCTGGGGGGTGATTTCTCGCTGTCTCTCTGTCTCTCTGGCAAGTGGACATGCCCTACAACTAAAACTTCTCTAAAAAAAATGAAGAATTATGACCGCGATCTTGTCAGAGGGTAACTGAGGAACTGCCACTGATAAACCTCCAGCCCCACCCCACCCTGCCACCAGCTCTCAGCAGGGGTAACCTCCAGTCGTACCCCCAGTTCTCCACCTCCAGTCTTACTCCATGGACACTTCACACAAAAAACTGAAGAATGTTCCAGGGCCGTCAGATGGTACACCACCTACTCAAACACCTCACACGGTTCCTCCGCGCTCAGGAGATGACCCCGGGCACGTCCTTGCCTAACCACGGGGCGCCTACGGTCTCTGCGGCGTTAGAACGTGGCGGGGAGAGCCAGGCTGGAAGCAGTCCCCTGACGAACGTGTGAAAACTCCCATACCTTTAAAGACTCATTTAGAAAAGAAAACTGTGAAGGGAATGCGCTAAATTTAAACTCCTAATATTTACCATCTGCCAGAACCGAAATTAACACTCAGAATTACGCGCTCAATCCCACTGGCTGGCCCTCTCGGCCCTCTCCCGGCGCCTCAGGACGGACCTAGCTAGCTGCTCTGCGGGTGTGGAGATCGCGCACGAGGGCCTCCAGCGAGCTCATGAACCACGTGCATCGTGAAAACTGCACGAATTTCCACTCTCCCATGCCCCCTGGGCCATGTGAAGCCCCCACGGCCGTGTGGCACTGTCTGGGCATGCCCTACACTCGTCCTCAGTCATCTCTGATCACATGACTCCACGGTGCTGACAGCCTTGGGTCCTCTCCACTCCCCAAGACCCACAGACTTGGGGTGGATCCCGTCCCCTAACCTGTCCCCTCTATCTAAGGCTGATCAGGCTGCCCAGGGCGAATCTCTGCAGCCGCTCCATGGCTGGTTCAGGCCCCGTCCACACTCCAGCAGGAGAGACTAGGACGGGCTCCCTCTGGCCCGTGTGCGGTGCACAGGCCTCTGGAGCACCTCCTGCCAGGCTGCACCCCACACCCAGTGCGCCCCCCAACAACAGGGCTCCTCCTGATGCACCAGACCGCGCGGCCCACAACCGGGCAGCACCGCCACACGGGCATCCCTCGAGCCTTTCCGACCCCTCTGCGCTAACTGAGCAGCCCGCCTGAGCCCGCCCTTGGTTCACAGAAGAGAGAGATCTGGGCTTTAAGGACACCCGTGTGCCATTACTGCGTCCACACTCTTGTCCCCTCTGGCCTACTTCTCTTGTCGCAGGGACACCCTTCACTGTTCAACACCGTCTCAGAGGCCACCTCGCCCGCTCCTTTGCCATCAGCCTCCCTCAGGCCAGCCTGAGCCCGCCAGGATGACAGCCCCCTGCTGCGGGAGGGCCTTGATCTGCCCGTGACGCTGAACTGAAACTGAAGGAAAAGCGCACTTGCGATACACCCTTGGGGCCCAGTGTCACAGCAATGAAGATCGTCGGACAGAACAGTTCAGAGCCCTCAGCTTGTCCCCGGGAGCCGAGAGCTGAACCGGACGCAGTGCTCACGGGAGGACCAGCCCAGGCACGTGGCCTACCCTAGGGTGCGAGCTTCACCCGTGTTGCGGTCACAGTCCAGAAACGTAATGATCGATGGCAGGATAATAATTACGCCCGTCCCTGGGTAGCCAGGAGGGGCGAGACGCGTCTTTGCGTGGGGAAACAGAAAGACGCGCCGTGACTTCCCAATGGCCCAACCTCTCCGACTGGCTCTGGGACGACGGGACTCTGCGGCCTCTGTGCCCGTGAAGAGCCTGGACAGTGACGGGACGCGCCGAGTGCCCACGACATCCGTGAGACAGACGCAGCTGGCCCCCTGCCGCGAAGCACAAGCTCTGCTCATAACGCCCACCTCTATTCACAGCGGCACGGCCCTGGGGACAGGAGGTGGAGGAACTTACCCTGACCACGGCACAGTTAATACTCCACTCACACCCTCACTGGTCAGCTACTCACTGGACGAGCCCACCTCAGACCCCGGGGCCACCACTGCAGCCTGCACATGTCCGATGAAGAGGCTGGAC